AATAAACACAACATGGATTCTCTTCAGGGAGTCTGTTGGCCTGCTCCCTCCACAGAGAGGTCAGAGGACCCAGGACTCGTATTGCAATTCAGTGCCTTGCTCAAGGACACACAACTACAATAATGAAAAGTATGTTTCAAATGTTTTGCACTACTGCAGTGTTTTCATTAACAGCAGGACAGGATGTGATGATAGTTGTAAGATTTGAATGAAGTGGATTTTGTTTTTGTCATGTTCTGTAACGTGCTTTATGGATCTCTACATCCTGTGTCGTCCCTGCCAATATGTTTTTATAACTGAATCATTGACAGAAGACATTTGATTACATTGACTTTTTATTATATCAATCTCAAACCTCCACCTACAGCAATGTCCATTAAAAACAAACAAAAAACACCTCCTTCCTTCATATTTTTTACATTTATACAAATACACAGATCCTGTATGGCTGTTTGAAGAATTGAAGATTGGATCTCAACATGGTTTAATTATTTTGCGCAGAAAATGTTCACTTAACCACATATGCACAAGGAAATAATAAACTCTTTATGACATCAATTATCAAAATACAGTATTGCAACAGTCCCAGATTCGTAGAAAAACCTAAATAGTTTCCAGTTCCTACACTGTAGAGTACAAAGTGTCATATCTGCCAAAATGAACATCAGTACAATCATGAAAAATGGCATCCTTAAACAGAATGCACAATAACAGTATTGATGCATTCGGGGCTGGAGCTTTATGAGATTAGAGACGGAGCTCGACAGGAACTATCAACACAAAGACTGCAGTCCATACAATATGAAGGGAAATCTATTAGTGGTCTGAATGTAGTGAATTCTGGAGATTAGTGTGGAGCTCCTTCACATTGCTACGAGACACAACAGGACATTGTGCATCAGATCCAGGATCAGCTTCACTCGCAGCAGCTTATGCAGATACACAGTCAAACGAACAACAGTCACAAGACACATGAAGACCCACCAGGACTCAATGAAACCTTTACAACTGAGTGGACAATTAAACACTGATAAGGGGGGTGGGCACCACATAGCACCAAATAGCACCGAATGAGCAGGGAGCCAGGAGCCAATCAGAACTGCTCCAGCAGCTGCCGCAGGTAGGGGGCCTTGGAGATCTGCCTGTTGACCCGGGACAGCTTGTAGAGGACAGGGCAGTCCAGGGACACACAGGACACCTGCCGCTCGGCACTGCCAGTGCAGTTCCTACACACCTGGACACACACACACACACACACACACACACACACACACACACACACACACACACACACACACACACACACACGAAGCGCTTGAGTGCAAGATATCAAAGCGATCTGATAATAGCCTCACCCAGCCATCAAGCTAACCGTCTTATCACAGTTATGATCAAAGGTCACTTCAAACAGACTTGAACACATTTAATTTATATCAAAACACAAAAACTCAACATTAATACATTCATTGTTTGAAATGTTACATGAAAGAAAAGAGGAGCCATTACTTTAAGAAAACTTAGGTCATTATTTTAAATTAATAGTACTTTTTCTTATAAAAAACAAATTGGACAAATGATTACTCCCTGTGTTTTTGCTGGGCGGGGGTCTCACCTTCAGCAGCTGCTCCTGCTGTCTCTCCCATTGTCTCATGTCCTGGTGGAGTGTGACTGCGACACGCTGCGGCTCGGCGCGGCACCGCGAACACACACCGAGCTGGGTCAGCTCGTCACACACGGGGCAATGAAGCGTGGTGAAGTACTGCGAGATGGTCCCCTTCCTCCCAACCTCATCTCCCCCCACCACCGAGAAGCAGGAAGCCTTCTGGATCTGTGTGCAGACAATCAGACATGAGTGATGTGTTTATGGAAGACAACACAACATTATTCAGATCATTTAGAAAGAAGATAACAGCAGCCTTACGAGTAAGATCATACTGTAAATAGTTCAATGCAATCAATGGTCATTAATCATTTTCCTTAGCTATGCTTCACCAGCAGAGGGCGTGTGTGCTCCGTCAGGACACAGACTGCAGCTTGATGAGTCTCACTTAACAGATTCTCTTCCTCCTTTGTTCTCTCTGCACTAAATACACTGAATGGACTGCAAACACCATCCGGAAGAATGCTTTTATTTTGAAGGACAGAAGCAACAGACCCCTGGCATGCTCATCAGTCATTTATTCGTCAAACTCAGCTGTGTGTCTTCCCTCCATGCCATTTCTTCTTCTATACGTTGATGTGGCTTTTCTAGCATCATCACTCATTTGCACTGCTCCTCTGCAACAGAGGTCAGATAAAAAAACATTTTGGATTCTCATTTCCCGCCGTCTCACCCTGGGCAGCTCCTGGTACCAGCTGAACACGTCCACTCCGATCAGCTGGAACATGCGGGCCAGTGGGGGCAGGATCTGCTTGGTGATGTAGTAGGTCGCATTGAGGCGGAGGCCGGGGTCCTGCAGCACCTCCACCGGCCGGCGCACCAGCTGGATGAGGGGCAGGCCGGGCATCCCGTACACGATGACGTAGGGAACGCGCTCGCTCACACGGGGCTCCAGACGCCGGTCGTACGCCATCATGCGCCTGAGACAGATGGAGACAGATGGAGACACAAACACTTGACAAACCATATCAGAACTTTTAGTCTGCCCTGTGTCTGTCGGGAAATATGACACTAAATAAATCATTTGTAAAACCTTCAGCACCATCTAGAATCCACCTAGCTGATAAACAGGAAATAAACTAGAGCTCATGACTGACGCTGGATACTTCCTCTTACCATGCCTTCTTTGGAATCTGATTTTTTCTCACCCATTAAGAGATGGGTTGCCTAGCAACAGACTCAGGTACTGTACATACAGGCTATTGCAGCCAGACAATGAGCACTGTAGGGGGTGGGGAGTAATTGGATTCACACTGACTCTGTAACTGTAGCTTACAGCAAGCTCTGCAGCATGCCCCCACACACACTTTCTCTGTCTTCTGGTGAGACATTTGTCTGCATGTGGCTATTTCAGAAAATGTTCACTCACAATGTGCTGTCCCTCACACACACTGACACACACCTGCTGAGCTCCAGGGCGGGGACGCAGGCTCCGGGCCGGTACGAGCTGCTGCCCCGGTACTCCTTGGCGAAGGTCAGGTCCTGCATGCTGGCCCGGCCGTCCAGAACCTTCATGCACTGATGCTGCACAAACCGCTTCACCTGGCTGATGTCCCGGCTCTCAAACAGCAGCTTGATGGAACGCTCCAGAACCTGGACCACAATCATGACAGGACGAGTGAAGAGAGTAAACATGAGAGCGGTTAATGCAAACACTCAACACCCCCCAGCCTGACTGACACGTGTGCAGCAGTCTGAGTGAACAAGAGCGGGAAGAAATCTGGCAAGACTGTGATTGGTGTAGAGGCCAGTGAGGAGGTTTGCCTGTCACCTTGGAAACAGCAGGGCAGCCGTCGCGGCGCACTGTCTCGATCCCTTTGGCATCAAACACAGGCTCCTTTTGGTCCAGGCTTTCATACATGTAGCCCACATAACGCTTCTTTGTCTGCAACACGCAGGGAAGGTACACCTGGGAACACACACGCACACACACACAAACAGATCAATATATATGTCTACAAGTGCACATTGTGGCTGTGTGCGTATGTGGCTGTGTGTGTGCACTACCTTCTCAAACTTGAGCTTGACAGGCTTGGGGTTGGTTGCGGTCACTGCCTCAGCGATCTCGTTACCAATCTTGAAAGCCTGCTCTTTGGTGGCTCCCTTCAGCAGAACAAACAGGCTGCGAGACAGACACACACACATAGAGGTTCACTACGGTCCACTGCATGTCCCGTCACACACACACTTCCTGTCAGAGGTCACGCCGTTGTGAATGACACTTACATCTCTGGCAACAATTACAAACAACCATGAGACTTCATAAAGAAAGGAAACAACAATGTGACAGAGTGCTGCTCAGAGAACATCTTCAGTGGGAGAAGTACTCAGATCTTGCACTTAAGTAAAAGTAGAAGTACTCAGATCTTGCACTTAAGTAAAAGTAGAAGTACCAGAGTGTGGGAATAGGAATAGTTTTGTAAATGTCCCCGCTGTGGGACTAAAAAAGGATTTCTGATTCTGATACTCTGTTACAGTAAAAGTCCTGCATTCAAAATGTGACTCAAGTAAAGGTTAGAAAAGTATTATCATCAAATATAGTGAAAGTAGCGACAGGTAAAAGTAGTCATTGTGCAGATTGGTCGTCCTTTCAGAATAATATATTATTGATATGTTTTTATATGATGATTGATCATGAAAGTGTTCTCAAAGCCTGGTAAAGCGTACAGCTAGTATTGAATGACTTGTGTATACTGCAGGGTAGCTTTGTTGAATTTACTCCAGGTGAACTAAAGCTGCCTGATTTGAAGGAGTTTGATTAGATTTCACATCATTCATCCACATCTGTAAAGTTAACTAAAGGATTAAATACACGTAGTGGAGGAAAAGTACACCATTTACCTCTTGCAACTGCTAGTGGGTATTAAAGTACAAAGAAACAACACATTGAACATACCTCGAAGAAAAGTACAAGTATTCTTCAACATTTTTAAATTAAGCCCACAGTACTTTGAGTAAATGTACTTAGCTTACTTTACACCACTGAACATCAGACTCCTCGACATCAGCAACCAAGCGACCTGAGTTGCCGACGAAGAGCACCTCGCCGCGAGGAAGCAAACCTCCCAGCGGTGACTACAGCTTAGAAGGATGATGGTGTACATTCTTCTCACATGCATGTTGGACTGAACCACGAGTGCTTCTATTTGAGCCGATACAGCTGTCCTACATGTTGCATGGAGGGTGGGTGTGAAGCCTGAGCATCTGACTGAAGACTTCAAAGTTGGCCATCACGTTTTTATGAAAGAAATATATAGTAGGTCCCCAGCACATAGAAACTGCCGCGAGGTGCTCAACCGATTAGACTCGCTCTCGCGGCGATTTTGCACAAGCTGCTGCC